ATAAGAAACAAATAATCAATTCATCAAGATCAATAAAAAGTAGTTATATGTCATAAATTTATAGTGTATTACAGAAATATCAATAATAATAAATCATAAAATTGGTAAGTTATACATTAAATAAATGAATGTATACACTTATATGGATATTGAGTGAATACATAATTAAGACAAATATCTCAATAAATAAGGGTAAAATTAATGTATCTGAAAATAAGTTTTTGTTTTCTATAATTAAGACAAAAAAAGTAGTGGTAGTTATTTCTTATAAAAAGGACTAGAGGAAATACTATATAATGTAAAATATTTTTTCCTTGGCACGATTACTCCATTGCAAACAGGTCTGTGATTTGACCCCCATGCTTTTGTTTTACTATATTAATTTATGAGAATTTTATTTTCAAGTGTACTTTTTCTTTCAATAGTCATGATTTTATTGGAAATATATATGTTTATTTTATTTGAAATTACATTTGCTACCCCAATTCTGCTGCAGTATATATTTGTTAACCACCACTTGGTTGTACTTGTATGACTCTGACTCTGAATTTCTGTTTTTCCAAGAGAAGATTTAAGGGATAGTATGCAGTTCAGACTTCAAAGCCATCCTATGCACCAGTATTTACCCACATTTTTGGGTTGTGACATGTTTACATTATTCCATTAAAAAAGTTACAAGAATATGTCACTAATATTTCAAAATTTCTACACAAGCAAAAGTTCAGTTCAGAATAGATTATGGCTAAGGACTTACAGCAATATCATTATCAATTGTCTTTGGAATTCCAGCAACAGCCACTTGAAGACCACGCCTTTTAACTTCCTTCATAAAACGATAATCATATTACATTGTTCCATATACAAAAACTACATGATTGACTAGTTGAAGAATAATTTATTTCATGCAACAAGTAATCAAGTACCTCATGAATGCATGCAGCTCCTTTTTGGGTACCATCACCGCCAATAATGTATACCTAACATACATAGATCATATCTCCCATTGTTTCAGATATTGTGTCCATAATCTATTAAAAGCTAAAGAAAATAACTAATAAAATTTATCAAGTATCCACCTGATTTATTCCCCGATCCTCAATGTTATCTACTATCTTATGGGTATCATGTCCACCGCGAGACGTGCGAAGAAAGGTGCCGCCTCGCTTATGGATATCATTAACCACTTTAGGTGTCAATCTCATGGTATTTTTTGAATAAAACCCTTTATATCCTTCCTGAATCAGTTTCAGGAATAAAATGGCGACTAATAAGAGCGCATGAAATGATCATAAAAGGGAATGACAAATGCCAAACAATACCCTAAAGAAAATCAGTTAAGGAAACAAAAACAGAAAGTATTTATTACATAGAAAATCAAAAAGTAACTTAATACTGGCTTTTTTACATAATTAGAAGCATTCAAATTCAGTAAGGCAAATTTCATGCCTTCGGGTACTGATTAACAAGACCTAATCACCTAAAAGAAACTACAAAACTGTGCTATCAGATAGGTAATAGCATTAAAAAAACTCAACAGTAAGACATTTAAATTACAATTATGTTTTGTGGCTTCTCTCTTTTATTATTATAATTTGTTATGGTTTTTGTTGTTTCACACAATCCTTCCCTCTTTTTTCTGGTTGTTTTCTCTTCTTCTTCTTTTTTATAGAGGAATCCTCTTTTCTCTTTGTAATGTTTTTATCTTCATCTTAATAAATTTCTTATGTTATTAAAAAATATATATATTAACCAGAAATAATGCATTAACTGTTCAACAAACAACAAAATAGTCAAATTATTATTTTAAAATTTTATCAAAAACTATAATTAATTAAATAAATAGTCATTAAGTCTTCAATGTATGGAGTATTTTATTTTAACAGATAGTCAGAATATTATAATTTCACAAATCTCACCTCAATCCCAAGTATATCTTGAACACCATACATGTTGTTTAAGCCGCATACAATTTCTCTAATCACTGTATTAATTCCTGGGCATAATCCTCCACAAGTCACTACGCAAGCACGCACTTCTTCTGGCTTGAAATAAACCTGATAATAGAAGGCATTATCAGTTTCTAAGATTAAAAATCAATGGACAGACATTTCCATTCTTTTTTACCTTTTCACGAGGACCAGCACGGCGAAAGTGGACCCCTCTAGGACTATCCTTTTGAATAACAATCTGGACATGTAACATGATAAGAAAAATATAGAAATGATAAAGAGAGGGACATCATTCAATCATTAAGAAAATAAATCACAAACAAGGGTAGAAAGGAACAAGTCACTTACATTTTGTGCAACCGCATCTTCTGGGCTCACAAAAGTTCTCCTTAAAGTACAAAACAATATAAAAAATTTTCATACTACAATAATTACAAGAAACAAAAAGTTTGGAACTCTGAAGCACGAACACCTCTATGCAAATGAGTGTCTGGATGTTGGACACGGCTCCGACACCGACACCAACACCGGTGCAACACGGCTTGGACACATGTCGGACACCATTCTGCAAGTGTCCGAATTTAAAAACATTCTTTTGCGGCTTTGCCAAGGCACTAGAAATTACATTTTAAAAAAAATTGGTTAAAACTTAAAAGGTTAAAAAATTTCATCTACATGAAAGTTCCCTTCATTCATCTACATATTTATGTTTCTACATCGTAGTGTTGCGTTTCCTCTGCACATTTCCTTTGCTCGCCATTCGCCATTATCCAAGCTTGTCGTTCTTTAGTCAACTCTCATCTCTGTTCTTTGTCATATGAAACTTAATGGCTCTTAGTATTTTTTTTGTTAGGTTTTCATATGAAAATTATAAATTCTATGAAGATAAACGAACAAATCTTAATTTTCAATTTAAATTTTTGTCATGTTAATCATATATATATAGCTGTGTCCTGATGTCCGCATCGTGTCGTGTCCGGCATCCATGTCAGTGCTTCGTAGGTTTGGAACTAGAACCAGTAAATATAATCTTTTGCAAGATCACAAACATTTTTTAAAACAAATTGCAAAGAAGTGGAATTACTTGACAATTGAATAAGCTTGGCTCTTTTGCAACGGGTTTGGATATGACTGCAAAAGAGGAAAAAATGCAGTAATGTATCAGAAATCAATTTACCGATGTGGATAGAAGAGAGGAGAGGAAAAAACCATCACTATCTTTTTTGAAAAAGAAAAATATTTAGCAAAGGAAGAGAAGTACATATTAGGACAGCAAAAATCCCCTTGAATCCACTAATAGAACAGAACAAAGAAAGCCAAACGTACAACATTAAAGAACCCTCCAATCCCTTTACAAATTGTCAGAAATTCAGGTTGTCAAGAACTCTAGTTGATTTCTCATTAATGTGTTCATTCTCCATTTGGTCTCTCACAGATTAACTTATGCAATGCAATCTCAAAAATTATAAAATAGTTCGTTCCTTAAACAAAAAAATTAAATATGAATTGAAAAAAGCTGAACCAATGTGACTGGACAAACCCATTGCTACTCAAATATACTGAAAAGCTGACATCAAAGCCGCCATACATTCTCACAATTTAAATTGACTCGTATTTGACCTTGTTGAAAAACACTCGTATTAACAAAAGTCCTTGGCATTGATCAAAAGAGTGTCTAAAAAATTTGGAATTAAAACAAATAGTTGAAAAGTTATTTGCAACCAGAAGAACCAGAAAAGTCCATGACAACCTAAGTTAGTGAAGGAGAAAGGGAACAATAGTTGTAGCTCTGAAGGATCGTAGTGTGCTTCTGCCACAGTAATACTAATACCTCAGATTAATGATTAGAAACTGTATTGTCCACAGAAATGCAATCAAGAACGCTCGTGAAACAGTGTAAAAACGAGAACGTAAAATAGCGATAGTTTTTGGTGAAAAGCAACGGAGCAACAGACAAGTACCGGTAAATCGGGAAGAAAGTTGGTGAGGTGCGGAACGTCTTCAAGGACAAAATCGTCATTCTCAAATTGATTCGAAGCGTGAACTGCTGCAATAGCGTGGCTTTTTTGGCGGGAAACCGAGGGAAGATTCCGCAGAGAGATTCCAACATTTCGGGGGAACAGTAACAGTTGCGGAGCGTTTGGATAGAGAGAAAACGGAGAAGGGGTGTTAGACAGAGAAGAGAAAGAAAGAGATAGATCCATTGTACTCTGAACGGAAACCGGTGTGGTCTAGTCAATTGTCAACAACGAATTCTTCCATCGCGATGTTTCTTTTAAAATCCATAAATTAATTAAATTTAAAAAATTGTGAAACATCTTTTTATTTTAATTTAATAATACTCGTGAAAGTGAAAAATTTACTAGTCAGAATGAATGTTAAAAGTTTATTACATATTTTCATGAGATACTCGAGTTACAAAAATATTTTTAAAAGGCATTATTTAGTATTTTTGTTGAGCTTTAACAAATTTAATAACAAAAATTATATTAAACTAAACATAATTTCTACGGTGATTAAAAGATTAATAAGACAGATTTTTTACACATAAAATAATTATCATTATTAATATTATATTAAATATGTATAATAAAAAATAAGAGTTAGTAATTTATTTTAAAATATATAAATATTTTTAAATTTTTAAAATATTAAAATAATTTTAATCATCAATTTAAAAATGATTAAAATATTTATACAAGTCTATTGACATTGAAGCAAACACCTCGAATAAATTCTGGGTGCATTTGAGTTTACAATTTAATTGTTTATTTATTAAAAAAATATATATCGGTTTATACTGTTAATTTAATCATAAAACTTATTAGCATAAGTTAAAAAATTCACTTTAAAAATCGGGCTAAAAAACTATTAAAATAAGTTTAAAAAATAATAAAAAGCATAAACTAATTCTATTAACTATACATAAGCTCTTTTAAACACTCAAATATAGTTCCAAAAAGTTGAAAAGTTATAAGAAAAAGAAAAACTTTGTGGCATAAACAAAGTATAGACGTAAGTTATAAATACATAATATAGAGGTTGGTTGGCTTAAAAGATCAATAAATATATGCCATTTCAATCAACAATACACTTAAAAAAATCAAACAAAACAGAACAAATTTTAATATATGTTCCTACATCAAGGGCCGAGATGGCCTCCCAAATACTCCTACATAGTTTTGCTCAACACCCCCCCCCCCCAACACCACAATGATTAGCATTGCTCTGCCCAACCAATTGGAGCAAACAACAACAACCAAGATTTTTCCTGCCCAATCAGATCCTAAAGTTTGGACATGAGAGTTTTATCCACCAGATGCAGAGATATAGGGCAGCTCGTATTTACCATCACTTTGTTTCATTCATTCCTTTATAAGCATCAATCATCTGAGCTGTATTCACTAGATTCTGGCAATAAGGGTGCAGTAGCACAGCAGAATGACTCCTTGTCCTTAAGGAGTAGACAACTGCCATCAGAATTCCATTTCAGGTCTGAGACAGTAAATTGTGGTAGAGGAACATGAACACAATAGGCACCAGAGGGGGTCCACATATACAAGTGAGTGCTTCCCGTACAAAGAACAAGGCGAGCGCAAGTCGGGTCCCAAGCCGCTGCCTTGATAGGATCCTTCTGCACTAAGATTGCAGCAAGCTCTAGATGTCGAATATCCCATATCCAAAGTACTGTGGGCATACTATCATTACGAGTACATATGTATTGGCTATCGTTGCTCCATGACAAAATACCTACAGTAAAAATGATTTTAGTCCTATGGGAACCTTCATTTGTAGCTTCCAAGAGCCATCATGCAAACCAGTAACAAAAGACATAATCCCTTCCAGTTTACTACAAAAACAATGCACCTAAGAATCCTACCCATTGCTTCTGTGTGATTATTAAATTATCTAACACGAAAGCTCATAATCTACGGCATTTGAAAATTAGAGAAGCAAAGCTTACCAATTCCTTGTTTGGGGTTAGGTTTCTCAGCAGGAGGCTTTTGGAATGGCAAATTAATAGGAACTTCCATAACCTCATACCTGACTCTAAAGGGTTCTTCTGGCGAATCTGCTTGAAGAAAGAAAAATAAGAAAAAAAAAGAATGTGTCATGAACCAACTATCCTAAAATTTTAAGTTGTTAAGTAAAAGCAGATGAATGATTTCATGCTTATAATTTATAACACAACCCCTCATGCAAGAGGGCTTTGGGCTTGAAGTGGGGACAATGCATTGTGCACATGCCTACCAGCCTTGTGATGAAATGTAACTCTTTATTAGAAAGGAAAACAAGGACCAAACTCTAGACCGCTTGATCCAAGAGACTCTAATACCATGTCATGAACCATGGTATTATCTACGGAAATGAGGAAGAAAATAATGAAAGTGAAAATCCAATGGCTAATGGAATGATCAAGTAACTGGCCTTCACATAGGAAGGAGTTGTTCTTCATATAAATTATAGAAACAGATGAACATGGAATACCAATTTGCCTGTCCAATGGCATAAACAATCTTAGTTGAAATGCCAAGATATGAAAGAAAGAAAATTTCAATTGAAATTTCAAAATTCAGAAGCAAAAGTTCCCTAGCAGAGCTTTATTCAATCAAAAACTAACCTTTAACATAACTCAAGGACTAAAGGATATAGAAACAAAACCTTCAGGGTCCAAAAAGTAGTGTAGTTACCAAAATAAGAAAAACAAGCTGGTTCTCACAGCAATTGTGCTTACTGCTTACCATCGTTCCCTTGGGAAAAATCATCACTCAAACATAGTTCAGACATATCAAGTTGTAACGGCTCATCTACTTCCTGCAATTTCAGGGACAAGGTAAATAAATTTTTCATAAACTGTAACACCACCAACATGAGAAGTGTCAAAAAAGAATACTTTGAAAACAGCAGCATAACAAGGGCCACGGACTGTATATGGGTGCATAAACTCTGCAAATGTCTTCCAAGTTAGGTGATTCAGGACCCGCAGCATCTGGTCATAACTACCCACTGCCAGAAACTGACCACAAGGAGACCAGGACACACTTTTAACTCCCAATCCACTTTCATATGCTTGATACTTGAAAAGGCACCTTCCGTCTGGCGAATAGATTAGAACCTATATCAAACAAAAATGACTAGGTTTGTGTCAAATGTAAGTACAGCATAAATTTCTAACAATAATATACAAAATAGCCAGTGGGTTATACAAAAGCAACAGACTAGGTGACATATAAATAGATATAGAAAACATATGCATCACAATAGATTGTATAATTTAACATGACAAGTGCGTTAATGACATTGATTACACAAATATTTAACCACATTAATTATGTTAACATTGCCCCCTCAAACTTAAGTGGGTGCAATGGGACTGGGAACCAACTTAAGTTTGGGATGTGAAAGTATGCAGGGTGAAATATGGGGATCAGACTGGATCTGAGATCAGAAAAGGAGACCAAACTAGGCCTAACTTAACCTCTAAAACTAGCTCGAGGGGGCAGGACTGTCCAACTCCAAGCTATTATATGAACTTTGGTCATATAATTAGATAATGTAGGATCTTAACAACAGATAGTTTGTGAACTCGATGATTTTTTTCCCCAAGGGAACTAGTCATCCTAAGAGCTTAGGCTGTTAAGGAAGGTGATAATGTTTTTGCTTTTATGTAACATACAGTCTCACACAAAAGCCCTTTGACTTTAAGTCATAGAGGACAGAACTCCTTCTACCCTATGCTGAATTTTTATTTAAATATGGAAAGAATGAGGGCATTGAGAATTGGACTCTTTAACTTATAGAGCAATATGGCTTTAGTACCATTTCAAGGAACCTGTTATCCTAAAACATTAAGCTGGTGGCTGCAATCTTACAAAGATTTTCCATTGATAACTCAAAAAAACTTTGTAATGCAAGAATTTATTAGAAACAATAAAGAGGAAAGAAAAATAAGAGGTTGGGATAAGACATCCTCTTAACACATAAACTAGAGAACTACAATTGAGAATAAAAAGGTTGTCCAGCAAAAGTAACGTTTGCCATTTCAGAAGATACACCCCCCTTTTGATAAAACAAAAAAATAATTGTCATTGATGATGCACTATAATGGAGCCCTAAAATATCTTTTATTTTTCCAATTATTTTACAACAAATAATTGCAAATGCTACACCCAGCTATTGACTTACTCTCCTTCCTCCTCCGACCCTGAGAATTACACAACAGAATCATAATATTTTAATCATAATATTTCAAAATTAGAGGGTTAGAAAATAAAAATAGAATACACAGTCATTACCTTGTATTCAAGCGGTGAATCCCATATAACAATAGCACTGTCATCCGGTGACCATTCAGTATCAGCCAAGTCTAGAGTATCAACTGCAAAACTGCCCATGATTTCCCAAGTGTGACAAGATAACAGATTTATATAGTCCTTGCAATCACGCCTTGTGCAAATTGCTGCAAATTTTCCATCCCGTGTGAAAGAGACTCCCTTGGAAGCATGTTTTGGCCACTGCACATGCACACAAGCTGTGTTTACCAATGACCAAACGGTTAAACGCAACTGGAACTCCGATGTAGTGAGTATGTGGCGGCTATCTGGGCTCCACCTAGCATATGCAATACCAGCAGGACCTTCATCTATCTTGCATGTCCATTCAGGCTGGGTCAGTGACCAAGCCTGGATCATTGGCCTCTTATAGAGACCACAAAGAATATATTCTGAATCAAGGGCCCATTCAATATAGCTAATCTTGTCCAAGCACGAAAACAATTGCACAACCTGCATATCATAATTGCAAACCACGAAATCAATGTCTCCGATTCATCAATTTTAATGTTTATATTGTGTTCCAGGAACATCTAAGTCCCCATTGAGTAAAATTAATTTTAATGAAATTGATTTTAAACCATTAAACTAAATTGAGATACGTGCATAAATTAATCTGAATCGTGTAGTTTTATTGAAATGTGCATTTTGCATTAGACAGTACATTATTAATTTTCTAGCTGAGAAACAAACAAGCCCTAAGTTCCTGAAATTGGAAACATCAAACAGTGCACTCTAGCGAGGGATTCACAAAACAAAACTAGGAATGAAAAATGATGCAGCGTTAGAAGAAGAGAACCTTGAAAGAGAGGGTGTCGCGAATGACGAGGCGATAATCGACGGCGACGGCGATGAAGCGAGCATTGGGAGAGAAAGAAGAGGGACCCGTTTGCTTGTAAGATTCAGTGAACTCCATCGATCACCGAATCAAGGTTTGACTTCAATTTTGAACTTCACGCGCCATAAGTTAAGGTGGCGCGTTGAGATATGCAATTCAAAATCAAATGCTGAAAGAACAGAACAGAAAAACACAGAGAAAGCGAGTGAGTGAGTAGATCTGGAAGCGTATGTTGGGGTTGGTTCATTCTTTTAAGAAACACTTTCAAATTCTTTTATGCAATTAAATGGACCGTTAGGCTTCGTTGTTACTTTCAATACTTAGTTATCATTACTATCAACTAAGTTTACAGTACCCACTTTTCGAAATTAATTTTTAAAATTAATTTTTTATATTTTCAAAATTATCCATTATTTTTAAAAATAGGTTTTGAAAATTAAGATTCTACAATCTCAAAAATTAATTTTTTATATTTCTGAAAAATATTTTTTAAATTTATTAATTATTTTCAAAAATAAGTTTTTGAAATTAAAATTCTACACTTCTAAAAATTAATTTTCACGATATTTAATATTTTCAAAATTAAATTTTTTGAATTTAAGATTTTATATAAAGGATATTTTAGAAAAAATATATATAATTTTTTTAATAGAGATGTGAAAAAGATTTTAAAAAATACAAAAAATGTTTATACTTGTGATTAAAAAAATAATAATTAAATATTTACTTTATTCTTAAAATAATACATATTAAATATTTAAATTATTTAAATTTTAAAATGTCATGTTAGTTTTTAATTATCTTTTTTATTATTTGAATCCTTTAACTATGTGTGTGTATATATATATATATATATTGAAAATTTTAGTTTTTAAAATTATTATTTGTTAGTCATTATAATTTTTTATTCTTAAAACATTTTATTTATCTATTTTTTTTTACTTTTTTAATACTACAATCGCAAAAAAAAACTATTATTGTTGGTCACTATTTATATTTATATTTTTGTTATTGCAATTTGACAATTTTAAATAGATCTTTAAAAAAGTTGTGATTTTAGGAGTTTATACTCAACTATATTTAATGTCATTTTAGGCCGAAGAAACATAACTAAGTGAATCAAATTATTAAAAATTAACTAGCCAATTTAGTTAACCAGAAAGTATTTGAATAGCTTGATATTTTGGCAACCAAAACATAAAACTTAAGTTGATTTAGGCAACTAATTGGAAGTATAAAAAATATCCTCCTATGATGTAGATGTAATTGTTCAAATATTATTCAAAAAAGGTCAAGTATGTGATATGAAACTTAGTTATTTTCACGGCAAGTCTACTCTTTATTCTCTTTGAACATGCCTAGACATGTCACAGAAACCCACACACTTTTCTTTTAACTTCTAAAACACTAAACAACTAAGGATGTACTCAAAATAGTCAAAGCTCCACTAGACGACCCTACCAAAACAGCAAAGAATCTTCTAGTTCATTTAAGTCCCTATATTACACACAAGAGAAGCATCTTTGGGGGACTAAATGGAAGTTTTCAAGAGGATCTCAAGAAGCATGTGGAAGGAAGAAAGAACGACCACACACCAAAGCACACAAAAAAAAGTCAAACAAGATAAGAGAACGGAGTATTACATGTAACCTAAGGAGTATACTTGCTAAACGAATGAATTAGTAAGTCAAGAGAGTCCCTTATCTCTTTATTTCGATAAGAAATACTGAAAAATTGGTTAAAAGGTTTAAATTTGTTTAATGAAAAGATTAAGACTAAAAAATTGTTTAAAATAACGGTAACAAAAATTAAACGGTTCAATTTTAGTAAAATTATTGAACTATAATTTCTATTAAATCCTCAAAGAATGATCACAGTTTATATATGAAATAATCCTTTAAGGATATGTTGAGTTAATCTTAAAATTACTCAAAAATCATAAAAATTAGTTTATCGTAATGTACTATATTGATCTTAAAACTTGTTGTTTTAATAAGCTTTACAGGAGAAACATATTTTATTTGAGTTTATATTATTTATTTTCTTTATATTTCTGTTATTATTACATATTTTTAAAACTGAATTCTCATATAAAAATTATTCTTGATATTTTATTTGAAAATTTTAAGTTTTTATTATTTACCATCAAATCTATTTGAAGATTGTTGCTAATAAAGCATTATTGTTATTTTCTTTGAATGAACTATTGTTTTAACTAAAGTTTTAGTATGATACTTATTAAATCATCCTTAATTTTGTTTCTCATGAATTTTTCCTTTTACCCTATGGTATTAAGTGGTCATTTTGCTTTTTGTTGTAATTTTATAGTCAAGTTGTTATTATATGATTCTATTGTCAATTAGTTTAGAAAAAAAATCATAGGTGAGTCAAGAAATTATTATCAATACAGGGATGAAATTTATGATTTAAAACTTGAAAAAAATAAATTAAGAAATAATATGGAAATATATGCAAAGTGTTGGTCAAGAAAATAAAGTTTCAAAATTATTAATGGATTATACTATCACCAAAGGAGTAAATGACTTGGGGAACTTATTATCCCAAGTTGGAATCACGTGATAGCATCCATAAATTGTGGAATGAAGCTTGAAAAAAAATTCCTAAAGATTACTTGGAGAAGAATTTACCTAATCAACGCTGTGAATTTTTTTACCAAAATTGACTAAACTTTTGACCAAGTGAAATAAGTGTGAAAGTAAAATTAAAATCGTTGCTTTTGAATGTGTGAGACATGTGAGAACACTATATAATTTGTGCCTTATTTAAAACATAACACTAATTTGATAAAAGTGACATCCTTGCAATTTAGCAAAGTATAAGAGTTAAATTGTAAGTTTTAAAAGTATGATAGTAAATTAGGATAAATTCAAGAAAATATTATTTGATTAAAGTATTACTTATTTGAGTAATATAAACTATTTTAAAACAATTTAGAGAAAGAGTTAGTTAAAAGGTAAATTTTTGCTAAAACTAGTGTTAATTTAGTACTTTCTACCACTAGGATAAAGAATTACACATGTAAGCTAAGTTAAGAAGAAATTAATTTAATTTTATAGATTTTTCAAATAAAATATACTTAAATAAAGATAACAACACTAGTTTCATAATTTTTTTAACATGAATCAAGTAAGCTATAAATGTTCAAAATAGAGATTCAATGAGAAAATAGTTAAGCTACATGCATGACAATGAATCTTCCTCCTAAACAAAAGGGATTATGTGATTGATTAAGTGCACAACTGAAAAATAAATACCCATAATCTACAATGATTGAAAAATTATAATACATAAAAAGTAGTTGAATAACATTAAGTATAATAGTATAACAAATAATATTGGTTTGACCATAAAAAATAGTAAAATAGTCCTGACAAGAGATCAAGCATAATTAACTTGTGATACTAACAATGGATAAAATGTTGGACTATCTTTACATGTAGTAGATCATATTGAGATTAGTTGAAGTTTATAATGCTAAAAGTAACCACACAAATTAATATTAATGTGTAATGTAAGAATGTGATCTCAAAAGGATTGATTTACCTTGCGGCATTGTTTGAACTACGAGCACATAACTCTTAGTCATTCAACCATAAAAAATAAACATTAATATAGATAATTAATTACTCTGTAGAAAAACTTTGAAAAAAAAATAGAAGAATTTTTATGTTAGCATGAATAGATTAGAAAGGAGCTGTTTCTATTATTTAGTAATGCATATTTTCATATAAAATATTTTGTGTTGTATATACTTACCCTTCTGTTTCATGTGTCTCTTTTGCATGAACAAAGAGTACGATTACAATTCTGTCAATCAGACTATCATTTTTACAAGAAATGTGCAGGATATACATTCAGAAACATAGATAACCCTTTCGCTGCTCTGTTGATAGTGATTGACTTACTTAGGAGTGAGATAACCTTTCCTCTTAATCGTGCTTTGTAGTATTTAAGCTTCTAGATAGATAGTCTTGACTTTGGGTTTGGTGGTAGTGGACATGGTCACTAGCCTGGAGTGGATGAACCCCTTTTACCTTACTTTATGTATAATATTCTAAATTTTAGACATGCACTATATTTTTCTTGGAGTATAAGGAAAAAGAAAGTACGTCTCAGTGCATGTCTAATTCTAGGTGGAAAGGAGTCGAGAATGAGATGGGCATCGGTTAGGTGTGGTCGGTTTCAGGCCAAAATTACTCAATTCGAAAGTAATTGTCAAGTGAAATATGAAAGAGTAACGAGAAGGAGTGGTGCAAAGAGGAGCCAGGAAAAGAGGAATAACGCAGAGATCTACTCATGCTCTCTTCTTATTTCTCAACCTATTTCTTCCTCTTCTTTGGCTTCCTTTTCTTCAACATGCCACTATGGTCTCAATCTAAACCTCACGCTGCCATTGCATTTATGAAACCAACCTGAGATTAATTTTTCATCCTCTTGTATTCAAGTTTGAGGTGGTTGAAAAGAAAAAAACAGAAAGAAAAAATAGTAACTTGGGTAACTATATGAGCTTGAAAAGCACAAAAACACAGAGAATTTGAACTTGAAGTGGTTGTTGGTGGGTTGTTCTTAAAGCTGAAAGGGAAGGGAGAATAGAAAATGAGGCCTAAAATGTCATGCAAATTGAAACATATAATATTAAAACATAGCATGGGACAAATGAGAGAGAAAGTAGAAATAGAATTTGATAGATGTTGGAGAGAAAAGACAAATGAGAGATAGAGAGACAATTTATGTGTAATGTTATGCGTTTCAATGGAAGAGAAAAAGAAAAGGCTAATAATCTATCTATAAAATACATTTTTTCAGTCGAATATAGGTACAGTTGGATGTTCAATTTTAAAAACCGAATTATTCAAATCCAATCCAGCATTTTGAGTTGAGTCATCCCTATTCTATTTCTGATGCATGAAATTACAGATATGGAAGCTACTGATATGTTTGGAATTGTGTGAAAAATCAGTGTGGTTGCAGAATCGGTTAGGGTAAAGAATGGTACAATATTGGTTTTTGAGAGACCAGTTCTCTTCCTCAAGTCACTGACGAATGCAATACCCACTCCATTCCCCATCTCCATTTATAGTTCCTGTAACTACCCCTCCTTAGTCCTTCACAAACTATCTAATTATAACTGTCAACAAATCAATCATTTTGTTACAGTAACAGTGGTCAATAGCGCGCGCTAGCGCCGGTGCGGAGCAGCTCCCTGCCGCGACGCGAAGTGGTTGCGGTGTTGTGTAGTGGCTGGAGTGGCGGCCGCTATTGCAGAAAATTGCGGCTGTTTTCTGAAAGTTAGAAGGCTTTTCAGGGGGCAATCTTGGGATTTCACCCCTTTTACATTGCCATTTTCCGCACGTCTTTCTATCATTCGAATTCTGCATGCTCGAACCCTAGGTGCTCCCATTCACCATCTCCGATAACTTCTGCTTCGCCCGACGACCTTCACAGTGGCCGACATCCTCTTCCGGCCAAAATCTGGTGCGGGTCACCATTCCGCCCTAGTTCTGGTCATCTTCATCTCTGGCGACGTCATTTTCGACGTGACCCATCTGCGTTAGGAGCTGTTCTTCGGCCCAAATCCGGCGCTGTTTACTATTTCCAGCCAAGTTTTGGTCAGCTTCTTCATTTCTAGCAAGACGCACATGCTTTTTTTGGTGAAACCATCTTCTTCACTTTTGTTATGTTTTTCTTCTCTGTTTTGTTCTTGACGCGTCTTATGTTCTCAAACTATGACTTTGATAATTTATTATGATTATGTCTTTAATTTGGGTGTGTAGTATAATTTATAATAGGTGTATTTCAAATCTCAGAATATCGGTCATCCTGCTATATGCTATCTCACTATAGTAGTTTTGGGGTCGGCTGTTCCGCGCCGCTGTCTGGGTTTGACTAGTATGGGGTACATCTTAGTAAAAGGGGTCTCTGTCTACCATAAAACCCATAGAATCAGAAATCATTTGCCTAACCCAGTCAACTTGGAAGAGAGAACCAGAAAAGAAATCACCATATTATAGAATACCAAAATTAGGAAGGTTGAGCCATTTGGGGTTGTGGCCCCTGTCAGCCCCTTTTGTTTTATCCATTGTAGTTTTCCTTCCTTCATGGGCACTGACTACTGCCATAAACCTCCATTGCAATGCTAGTATGTGTGTGTGTGTCTATTTATATATATATATAATTTTGATAAAATGAAAAAGAAAGTTTATCATATTAAGAACACAGCTTAAAATTACAAAAAAGCATTATAACTTAAACATGAAGAGTTCCCTGGCATAACCAGATTACAGCCCAATCAGTGGAAGCTCATGTTGGGATAAATGGGGCCATCAAATTAAAGCAAAAGAGTCCTAGTAACGAGAATACTGAGACCTAATTAAGGACCATTTAACATATTTAATTATTTTAAAAATAGTGAATAATTTTTTATTTTTTATAATAACTTTTTTATGAGAATGAGATACTTTCTATTTGATGGCAGTTATTTACAAGTCCCAACTAATATTTTCAGGCATTTGAATTTTGAAGACGTAAGGAGTTGGATTAAGGTTTCTTTCAAAGTTTTGTTCAGGCATTCACAATCATATTCCACTTAATCTTCCTTGGCTTTTCAGATAAAAGACGAAGTTCAGCTCTAAAATGGGTGGTATTTCAAAATTGTTGATTTTTTGTGTTATATTATGGCCCTGTTCTATTTGCTTTTGTCCCCAGTTTTCTTACATCTTGAGTGTCTGTAGGGACACAAGTGGAGAGAGAAGAGAAGGTTTCTTTGGAGCTGAGTGAAGAAATTCTTCAGAGTATGGAAGTAGGGATGGCCTTTAAGGACTATGTGAGCATTTCTACCATTACGTTGTTTTTTAATATATTAGATCTGTGTTTCAAATGTTTGGGGACAGCTAGGATTCTGCAGCCTGAAATCTCTCTCGTCACTGCATGTTTTTCTTTAATTCTTTTACTTGCATTTTTTTCAGAATGGTAGAATTAGTTCGTTGGATTTTCACAGGGCATCCAGTTATTTAGTGACTGCTAGTGATGATGAATCCATTCGTTTGTATGATGTTACTGGTGGAACGTAAGCCTCCATTTTATTTATTTCTTTTATTATGTAGACAATTGAATGAATGCAATTATTTTCCTTATCATTTCTCTACTTTGTTGCTGTCTTTGTGCTGTGCTGTTTTATTTTGAAATTTGAAGTGTATATGACACTTCATTAGCTATATAGGCAACTGTTTGACTTCAAAATCCTAATATATAGATGTTTGCATATGTTAAAATGTTCTTAGATTTATGCATTTAATTTGTTGATCATGAATTTATACTTTTATATTACTTTGTTATCTGTATATGTTATGTTTAATTATTGATCGGTGGCATACACGAGACGGTTTGATTTACAATATAGAAATTAAGCTTTCCAATTTGCAATTTGAATCCCGATTTGATGACCTTGATTTGATAAGCTATATCCAAGAAACTTTAAATAAGCTAAAAACAACTTATGAAAGTCATAAGTTTAAGAGCTCTTCGACACAACCTAAATAATTTTGAGGATTGTTGAGTAAATAAAGCATGATTAAGAAATTTATGATATTGTTATCCCTGTTGTTAACTTCTTTGAAATTAAATTATTTTCATAATATTGCATTTTAAAGTTGCATGTCATCCATATTTTTCTTGCCACTTTTTTTTTTTTTTTCCTAATTGATCTATATGTATTCATCTTAACGAGTTTTTGAGATTTCTTAGTTGTCACCAGATGTTTGAAGACAATTAACAGCAAGAAGTATGGGGTTGACCTGGTTTGCTTCACGTCTCATCCTACAACTGTCATCTACTCTTCAAAAAATGGTTGGGATGGTATGTTTCTTACTTATTTCCATCTTCAATATCTTTGATAACCAGTAAATTTTTGTTTGCTCATTACAAAAATGTTTTAATCGATCCAGAATCTTTGCGCCTTCTATCATTGCATGATAACAAGTATTTGAGATATTTCAAAGGTCACCATGACAGGTTTGATATCTGGCATTTATACCTTCAAATATCATATCATATCATATGATACAGTGCTCATGTTCAGTCCATTTTGTTGGTGTAAATTAATTTTTGTTCTTTCCCTAGGGTTGTATCACTTAGCTTGTGCTCTCGGAAAGAATGCTTTATATCTGGATCTGTAGATCGAACTGTCTTACTATGGGATCAAAGGGCTGAGAAGTGCCAGGTAGTGGCATGTGCCAGCAGTTGCCTGTTTATTCCTTATATATCTAATAAATCATATACCTATTTTAGGTGCTTCTTATTTTTGAAACAAAATAGGGACTTTTGCGTGTACAAGGAAGGCCTGCTATATCATATGATGATCAGGGGCTTGTCTTTGCAATTGCCTTCGGAGGATACATGAGAATGTTTGATGCTCGCAAGTATGAAAAGGTTTGCAAATTCCACTTGAAAATATGTACAAAGCTTCACTTTTGTTGTTTGTTAATCTGAATGTTCATTGTTGTGACGTACACTAATAATCTAAATGGTGAAATTCGCTCACGACAGGGTCCATTTGAGATATTTTCTGTTGGGGGAGATATTTCTGATGCAAATGTTGTGAAATTTAGTAATGACGGGCGACTCATGCTGTTGACAACTGCAGATGGACACATTCACATACTAGACTCATTTCGTGGCACACTTGTCAGTGTCTTCCTTGTTAACTTAGTCCACTTCTACTTCTTTCAGTAAATTTATATATGCTTTGAAAGGCTTTCTTTGTGAATTGTGATTGTTCTCTCTTATTATGTGTATATAGTTATCCACATATAATGTCCCACCTGTCTCATGCAACTCCACATTAGAAGCTTCTTTCAGCCCTGAGGGAATGTTTGTAATATCAGGTAAGCATTTTTTAATCACTCAAATTTTCTCATCATTATTCACTTGGTAAACTCATTGTTTTCTCATTATTTTTGGCACATTGACCTTTCTGTTTTTGGGAGATGGCACATAGAACTTTATCACCCTGCTATTTCTTCCCTGAAATCATGTTTTGGAAGAAAGCTTTAGATATATATGGTAAAGACAACATACTGAAGAAAAGAAAATAAAGCTCTGGGAACCACAATTTCCTTGCCCAAGCCCGAGGCTGTATTACTCATGAATTTTTCTCCCTACCTCACTTCTCCCCTCTCTCCCTCCTTATAACCAAATTCCCCATTTCCAAACCCCATCATGGGCATACACCATCCTGTCCAGTCGGTGTAACTAACTTTTATCCATATCCTTCGCCACTGGTTCCTCTGGTTTCTCTCTTAACTCCGTCCCCACGCATTTAACCTGCTGACCTGATAACACTTCTTCATTATTTGATATTTTAGGCCTAAGAGTCTCATAAATATATGATTATTTTCAAAATTTCATGCAGCATGTCATTTTTTTCTCTAATGTTTTCAATTCTCTCTTTTGGAAATTTGGTTTTTAATCAAGCTTAACAGCGTCCTGTGATTCATGTAACTGACGTCACCTAGCGGGATAAAACTTGGTTGTTATTGTTTGTGTTTTCAGTTCTCTTGCCTACTTATGTAATCCTGTTGGTTCTGCATACTGGCTGTGCTGGTTTGTTATGCTAAACTTACGCTTTTATGCTTGGAAACTTTGACAGGTTCTGGGGATGGCAGCATCTATGCATGGAGTGTTCGAAGTGGCAAAGAAGTATGATAAGCTATACTGTTTTTTTTCTGCCTTTTATAACTATTCTTCTTTCTTTATATATTTTTGTTTATATTTGTAATTTAATATATTGTTAATATAATTATTCTCCAGTGAGGATAATATGCTTTCAACGTTATAAGCCATTTTTTTTTCTCTTTTTTTTTCACTAAGAATTTTTTAGAATGTTCCTTTATTGTGAATATAGCAATTTCTTTCCTAATTCCAAACTGTTTATAATCGTCTGAAACATGAGCACAGAAGAAAACACTCATTATATGCTGTTATAACAACTAATAAATTAATTATTACCTGTACATGACTGTGTTTTCTTTTTTCTTCATGTGTGCCTACAGTATGTATTGAGGTGTCACATTTGATGGGATAGGAGATAGTTTTCACTGTTAATTACTTTTTGGCTTTTGTAAATTTTTTTCCTCCTGAATCAGTTTGATTATCTAGATATAACCGAAAAGATAGTATTCTGAAGCCTGTGAAGTTGCATGTGAAATTTTGATTTTGTGTGTATACTGAAGCATAAGTTTTGCAACCAAAACAATGTAATGGTTGTGTATGGCTGAAAAAAAGTGACTGCATGTGTTTAGGTTTGGTGTCAAAAGCTTCTTTGGCTAACAGCATGGTATACTTTCCCCTTGTGGAATTTGAGTTTGAATAGTAGTACTAAATGTGACTTATTTCCTTGTTTAGGTTGCAAGTTGGAGGAGTGCAACTTCTGATACTGGACCTCCCGTTATAAAGTGGGCTCCTGGAAGTCTTATGTTTGCTACTGGATCTTCTGAGCTGTCATTCTGGATTCCAGATTTGTCTAAATTGGGAGCTTATGTTGGAAGAAAGTAGAAACAATACATGATAAAGCGATTGTTTGCCCATCAACCCACTGAAAGGTCATATTTTTTATTAATACTAGACTAAGTGACAAATTCTGCCCTGGCTTGTAAATATCTTTTCCAGTGGGCAACATATATTTCATTGCGCCTCCTAAACTGTGTACAAGTTGAGATATCTAAATGTACATCTTTCTGCCAGCATGCTTTTGATGTTTGTTTGATTATGATTGCTTCAGTATACTAATACATTGTTTTACCCTTCTGCTGTGATAAGGCTTTAGTTTGTTTCTTCCTCGAAAACTAATGAAGGAATTAGAACCAACTTTGTTTTATGATTTAATTCCTGTCTAGCGGAAAATAGCCACATTAGCACTTCTCCGGGGTACTAAAACAGATTTTTGAAACTTATTTTTGGAAATGGTTAGTTATTTCAGAAATTAATTATTAGAAGTGTAAAAACTAAATTTCAGAAATTACTTTCCATAACTGTAGAATCTTAAATTCAAAAACTTATTTTTAGAAATGGTTAATAATTCTGAAAATTAATTTTTATATGTATAAAATCTTAATTCTGAAAATTAATTTTTAAAGGTGTAGAATCTTAATTTTGAAAATCTATTTCTGGAAATGGTTAATAAATTTGAAAAAATATTTTTAAAAGTGTAGACTTTTAATTTTGAAAATAATTTTTGAAACAAGTTAATAATTCTGACAATTAATATTCATAAGTGTAAAATTCTAATTCTAGAAATTTATTTTCAAAAGAGTACTGATATTGATATGTTGATGAAGATCAAAGATGTCATGTTTTTACAATAAATTTATTTTTTTATATTACATTTAAAATAATGGAAATGTTTGGAGGATAATGATACTTGAAATTCGTTTGATGATGTCATGAAAGAACAACAACAAAAATTATTAGTAAAAATGAGAAATGAAATTCGAAAATCGAAAAGAAAAGGAAAATATTTCAAAAATTGAAACAAAAATAAAAAAATTATTAAAAGTAATTTTAAAATATGTAAAAGAATTATATAAAGTGTAAAAAGAAAAAAATAGGTTGGAAAAATCAATCCCATTTTAAACTCACGTTATATCCAACATTTGATGTGCTTTTTTATTTTTCTTAAACCTGTATTCTGAAGTTACATTATATCCAACTTAGTATGTGATTTGATGTTTGATTGTGTTTTTTTTCTTTCAAAAAATAGTTTTTGTTTGTCGTTTATAAAACAATGTAATTAAAAGAAAAAAGGCGTGCTTTTTTTTTTTTCAGTTTTAAAAATAGTTCGTAAAGAGCCATCAAATTTTTTTTAAAGGTCTTGAAAATTGCTTTAAAGAAGGTTCTAATAATTAAATTAATCAAAATAACTTGAACATATTTTTTAAAGTTGTGGTTTTTATTTTTAGTATCGCAAATGTGTAAACATATGACGTAAAAACTTTTCTTCTTTATACTTTATCAAATAAACTTTCTCTATCATTTTTAAAAATAGTTTCCAAAAAATATTTTTGTAAACTAGTTTTAAAGGGAAAAACAAAACATAGTAGCAAACAAAAAATTAAATCGTTATTTATTTAAACGATTTGATAAAATTGCTTTTCTACTAATTAAGAAATTGTAAAATAATTTCTTAGACTTTATTTTTAATATATTTTCTTTCATTAACTCTTGTTATTGTTTATTTTTAAGGTTTAAATAATTTCAGTTCTACAAAATATAATATTTTCATTTAAATTTTATAAAAATGTTATTTATTTTTAATCTCTATATTTACTAAAAAACTTAATTTTATTTTTTATATGAAATAAGAACATGTAATTTGTGGTAAAAACTAAACAATTCTTAGAAATTAAAAGCATGCTTGCTTTCCATTTTAAAAACAATTTTCTATTTTTAAAAATATAATATAATATAAATTTGTATTATATTTTATTTAATAAAAAATCATATTTTCAAATATTAAAAATATTTAAGCATATTAATCATAAGTTTCATTGGCCAACGAGTGCAATCTATTGTGTAACAGAAGGTGTTCAAAGTGCAATAAGTCAAGAATCTCAAAATTGAAGAAATAAGAAAAAAAAAAAGGATATTTTGTTTTGATTTTTAAAAAGAACTTTCTTTTTTTAAAAACCAAAACAAACATGTTTAAAGATTCTGTGTTTTTTTAAGTGTAATTTGAGTGATCTAAGTATCTAACTAGTGGGCAAGGGTCAGTGAACCACTTATTTTTCTGATGTAATAGTTCCTTTTGGATCTCATGTGTTAGGGACCATTTATTTTGTAATTATTATACAACACTTGTTAATTTAATACTACTTTGATCAGTTCCCGAGGAGTAAGCTCTTTTAATTAGTATCAGCGTTTTGATTCCATTTCTGCTATTACCATTTTTTCTTAAGCATGTAATTTTATCTAAAATAAAAAATTATATATAATAATTTTTATTAGAAAAACACTGAATTAAATTGATATTATTAAGTACTATAATTTTTAATTAAAAATATTATATGCAAATTTTAATTATTAAATCAGCTGCCTAAACAAGGGCACAAAGTGCCTTCATTCACTTCAAATACAAATATTATAATTAACAAGCCGACCATTAGAAAATTAACTCATGTCACATGAAATCATAGCACATCTATCCTGACCAAATTATGTATTAACTCCATTACCAACAATTAATTACAAATTACGATTCAAAACATACACAACACAACTATCTATTCTTACACGTATAAGGGACTAAAGCACACTTAAGTTGAAATTAAGCAACACGTATAAGAAGACTAAATGCATATTTTAAATCAATGTATTTACTATTATCTAGAAATTAAACTAAAAAAGAAAATAATGGAAATTAGGTGCTTTTTAGTGTCTTTTTCTTTCTTCAGTAGTTGCTCTATAAACAATAATAATTAAAATTCACTTAAAAATCAAAGTTAGTGGGTTCAATTGCAATACACTGAACATAGCACACTTACAATTCACGTAAAATTAGCTTCACGTAAAATTAGCTGTTCCTTGCAATATTTACAAGACAATTAATGGGATGATAACCTTAAACAACATCATTAGGGAAATCTTGGAACCATCAAGTAAAAAGCAGTGGCTCTGGTGAAAGAGAATGCGTATAGTTTCTCAGAAATTAAGGAAACCCCATAAAACCTTAAAAGTCTCAAAAAACAAGGTAATGGCAGTGGTAGAAGTTGTCACTGACACAACCCCAGGAAACATAAGATCCATCAGCGGTTAGTAGAAACCCATGTGTTAGGTCTTGAGCATAGATCATAATCGTAGTTGACAGGAAATAGCTCAGATTGATGAGGATTGTAGTGTCAAGATACAACCACTATGAGAATTTGAACAAATAGAGTAAAAACAGCATCGATATCTGAGCTGAAAATCCCAAAACAACAACAGGAATAATCACTCATTTCCAAATCAAATGTTGAGTTCACTCACTATTCTTTGTCATCGTGTATGTGATAAAATCCATGCAACTCGGACACAAATCTCTACTCTCTCTCTCTCTCTCTCTCTCTTTCTTCTCTGTTGGACTAGGTTGTACACATAAATAAAAATAATAATATTTAAATTTTTTTATTACACTCTACATCTACCATACTAATTAATATTACTTATTAGTTGTATTTATAGAAGAAGAATTATATTTTAAAAATATTCACAATATTAAATAGTCAAATTACCTGTAACTTAATCAATATATCTATTTACGTAAATAATGAGTATTTTGTTAACATAAATCTCACTAAAAATAAAAGTACAGAAAAATTAGTAAGTAATACATTTGAATATGAATTTTTGTTTCTTAATTATAATTAAAATAATAAAAAATTTATGATGATTTATTATTGATAAAATAATGATATTATGTTGTTTAATTTATATATTATTCTTTACTAAATAAACATTAATTATTAAGGATACAATTATAAAAAAATAATTCTTCATTGATTCTATAAAATCACAATACCAAATAAACAAAGTAAAATTGCTGAAAATTTGCTACAAAATTATTACGCAATATTAGTGATTAATAAAAAACTTAAACGCTCAAATATGTATTTATATGAAATAATAATACAAATATATCATATAGCTCAAAGTAGAACATGTCCTTGTTCACGTTTCTATGTACAAAAGATTATTTCTTTTTTATTGTAGGAGGCTGATGAATTTCAGGACTTTGAAGCTTAGGATTCGTAGGTTAGAAATGCCATGATTGTTTTTACAATTATTTCTGTTAACACAAAAGCAAGGTGAAAGAATCAAGGGATAGATAAACAACCCTTGCCACCAAAGTATAGAGAAATTAAATTAAATATTAAATTAATATTATACCCTCATGTTAAATAATAAAAAATGCTTATCATAAAATAATAATAATAATAAAATGCTAAACAAGTTTTAATAACCTACAACAACTGGTCAAGCATTCTTGCGTACATTACACAAGTTTGAAAATTTGTCTAATAAAATTAAAAATTAATTAATATTTTTTATAAAACACATATAACATTTTTTATGGATAAAAAAAATTGTAGACTACATTAGGAAAAGAATATAACACTTTTCAATAATAATACACCGTAATCATACTTTTTTCCTTGTGGATAATGATTAGCCATTAGTATCTAAATTACCAACAAATTCTAAATGATACACGATATATATTATAAGAGATTCTGTCATGGATTGCACTTTTGGATAAAATTTCTTGTGTCCCAAAGCAACTCGTTAAGTATTAAGAAATAAAAATATTTGATAATGATATAATGTTTAATAGAGTATAAATTTTTTTTAAAAAAATTTGATTTAATAGTTAATGTTTTTAATCTTTTAATTAATCCTTTGGTTAATATTTATTTTGGACAAACTGATAAAAAAAATTACCAAATAACTGTTTATTTTAATTTTTAATGATTTAGAGAATGGTTAAGTTTGATAAAGAAACGAATGATACATACAACTTGAATGAAGAATGAAAACAAAAAAATGAACTTAATACTACTTAAGAGATAAAATGAGTTTAATATTTATTAATTGTAAATATTAAATTATATTTAAGAATGTATTAAAATGTTTTTTATGTATGAAGATAATTTAAAAGGAAAACATATAAAACTGCTTTTCACAAAGGAAAAGGTGAACACAGTCAAAGCACAGCGAGTCTCTCTTCCATGGTTTACGAATTTTCTCGCAGAAGTTCTATTATATTTAACA